CAATTATAATAATCTATAATTTTTTTCCTTTTCCTTTTTAATGACATCGGACCCATGATTTTATACGTGCGATTTTTATGACGCACATTTCCACGAAATTAAAGTTAAGCTATATATGTCTAAGTAAGTGACTCGCGGTCGTCTTTAAAGCTCCAGAAGCCGCTTATCAGTAAACTTATTCTTGGTTTGGGTGGTGCTCCTTCCCCGTGTTTTGTTTGTTTTGGAGGTAATCAGTTTAGTAGAAAGACTTTATGGTTATTTTCTTTCAACTAGTTAAACCCTGCCCACTGCTCACATTTAGAGCAGTCTACAGACTCAACTTTTGATTCGCAGAGATTAAGCCTATATACACCAGCCTCATGTCAATACCTTGGACATGTTTAATACATGCATTCAATTCTCAAAGTACATGTGACGATAAATAAAGAATAATGTCTTTTCAATGCTGCAGCAAGAGTACTGACATGGACTAGAAAGAGAGAGCATATTTCTCCTATATTGACTTCCCTTCATTGTCTCTCTGTTAAATCCAGAATTGAATTCAAAATCCTGCTCCTCACATACAAGGTCTTAAATAATCAGGTCCCATCTTATCTTAATGACCTTGTAGTACCATATCACCCCATTAGAGCACTTCACTCTTGCACTGCAGGCGTACTTGTTGTTCCTAGAGTATTTAAAAGTAGAATGGGAAGCAGAGCCTTCAGCCTTCAGGCCCCTCTTCTGTGGAACCAGCTTCCAACTTGGATTCAGGAGACAGACACTATCTCTACTTTTAAGATTAGGCTTAAAACTTTCCTTTTTTGTTAAAGCATATAGTTAGGGCTGGACCAGGTGACCCTGAATCCTCCCTTAGTTATGCTGCAATAGATGTAGGCTGCTGGGGGATTCCCACGAGTATTTCTTTTTCAGTCACCTTTCTCACTCACTACATGTTTATACACCTCTTTGCACTGAATCACACTTGTTATTCATCTCTGGCTCTCTTCCACAGCACGTTTTTCTTTTCTCTCACCCCCAACCGGTCGCGGCACATGGCCACCCCTCCCTGAGCCTGGTTCTGCCAGAGGGTTCTTCCTGTTAAAAGGGAGCTTTTCCTTCCCATTGTTGGAAAAGCTCATAGGGGGTCATATGATTGTTGGGTTTTTCTCTGTATCTATAAAGCGCCTTGAGGCGACTGTTGTTGTGATTTGGCACTGAAAAAATAAAATAGAATTGAATTTAATGTAACAGCAAAAACAATCTACAGATCAGTTTTCCAGTAACTGCTGTTAAAATATTGGATGCTTCCAGGTCTTGGTTTGTTTAAAAAAACGAGAAGTTTAGAGGGAAGATATTTCTGTAGTAAATCAGCTAACAGAACACACGTCTGAAACTTGAAAAGGAGTCCAACCAGACAGGGTACCCTTTTTGTTTTTTTCTGCATGAGGGAACAAAGGCAATGAAACTTCACTTTATTTAAATCACAGCTAATTCTGACAATTCCAGACAAAAAGCTGGAGGGTCCAGATGTGATGTACTTCATGTAGTAGTGATGTAATGTAGTTTTAGCTTATTGGTATTGACTAACTTCAGTGATCCATTGTGTTTGGAAATGCTCTCTGGTCACAGTTGCATTTGAATACATTTTTTCATACTTTAGCAGAACAAACTGTACTAAAACAGGAAAAGAAAAAATAGTTCTGCATTGAGATTTGTAAGAAATCATTTAAATTATTTTCCAGAAGTTACCTGAAAAATTAACAATGATAGCAGATTTCACAGAAGGATAGGGAAAAGACCAAACTAAAGTCATTGTTAGATGTAAATAGATTTCTCTGAACAGTCACAGAGTTTGGGTTAATGGATTTTAATCAAGATTGACAAGTATTCATGTACCGTAATTCCCAGACTACAGAGCGCACCTGATTAAAAGCCGCATGCTCTAATTTTAGAAAGAAAATCAATTTTGTACTTGTACAGGCCGCACCGGATTTTAAGCCGTATGCGTTTCACTTGTAATATGAGATATTTACACAGAAATACTACATGTGAGGATTTTTAACATTTAATTTAATCCGTAAGGTAACATAAACGTTATGGTAACATACAAAAATACATACTGCAAATGCTTTTTTTCCTCGAACAGCGCCTGTAACACGGCTACCTTTAAGTATACGTACGTTATCAGTAACACAAATTACGTTGCTTATGGTTTTTTTACGGAACAGTGCACAAACAACATTACAACGTCTCTTAACAACCGGTAAAAATATATACCGTATATATACTACTTATCAATTTTATTAGTCTACTGTTACCAGGCAAAATGTTTTTGGCCGCATAAAAAAAAATATGCATTAGCCGCACGTCAGTATAAGCTGCGGTGTTCACAGTGTGGGGAAAAAGTAGCGGCTTATGACCCGAAAACTACGGTACATTTCCCACTTCCTGGTATAAAAAAAAGCATCTTACACGCTCAGGATGCGTTTATTTACAGCAACAAAAATCTTTTTTATTTAATGTTTCAAAAAGATAAAATACAAACCATTTTTTTCTGAAAACCTTTGACCTAAAAAGCCCAAATTTTTTCATGACTAAAAATGATCAGTCACTGACTCAGTCTGTTTACAGATGTAGACATACCTGCATGAAAACTGTACACAAAGCAAACGAGTATAAAATGTGACACATCTGAAGAAAATAAGCAAGAGAATCTCCTGGTCACGGTGTTGCTCACAGCCCCATCACAGAGGGAAACACAGCAGCACCTGTGGAAGGAAGGAGAGTGCATTCAATCCATTCACAATGTCTCTCATTAACCCCTGTCATCTAAACTCACACGACGTCAAAATCAGTCTGCGTCTACTTCAGCGCAGTCTCGTACTTTTTGGGCTACCTTGACCATCTCCTGTGTCCGATTCCGGGACTTTCCAGTCCAGTTGGCGCCCTTTTTCATAGAGTCCCTTGAGGACCTTCCTCACTTCATCATTCCCGCCGCCATGACTCAGCTCCAGGTACTTCCTGTACAGCTGCAGGGCAGTGCGTGCATCCTCTATGCTGTCATGGGTTTCCCCCTGGATGTTGAGGTCTGTGGACATCAAGAAGAAAACGATCAGAAATGACTTAAGGTAAACTGTTATCTTCAGATTTCAGAAGAGAATTACATTTATTGATAACGAGTGAAATGATTATGTTTATATATTTTTAAGTGTTTCAGCTTGAAATGTGTCTATAACCTTGACAGAAAGGTCTCCGAAACTCATACATCATCAGTGTACTGTAATCTGCTACCATCTGGGACTTTTTTACACTGCGTGTATGTTGGAAGTTGTGATTTTATTTATTCATTTATTTATTTTTTGATTGGTTGGTTTAAGACTTCAAGATTTAAAGGAAAACTCACACATATTTGAATTAGTTAATTTAATTAAATAAAAAGTACAGGATTATTTTTTGAGGCATTCATCTGTATGTCTGAAGATCATTGAATGCAAAGACTTTAATGCTGTATATAGACGTGAGTGGCAGGTAAGGCTCATGGGCTTCTGTAGAAAATGCTACTGTCAGCTGCTCCCTTACACCATGTGTTAACTACTAACCTTTGTTTTTTGTACATTTTTTGATTTGTTTGTTTTTACAGTAAGCTCTATATTTTAACCTTGACTTACCGAGAAAATACCAGGCAAGAAATCTAAGAGAAATCATCCTCTTGCGGGGCAAATGGAAGAGATGGACAGTATCAACAACTTGATCTTTGGGAACCTTAAAAAACAAAATAAAAACCTTAAAAATCACATCTAATCACTCTAAGAGTTGTGAGGTGACTGAATTTGACTTTACTGAACTCTAAATTATACACACTAGTTTATAGAAACAACATACCAATAAGTTGATGACGCGAAAGTCTTTCTGTAGGCCGTGACCTACAAAGCGAACTCCTGTGTCAATGAGGAAGCGCAACTTTAGGTAGGTTGACTTCAGAGTGGTCAGATGCTTAGAGGATATTTTGGCATCCAGGTCTCCAGGTTTGATGCCAGAGTATTGTGTCAAGTAGTCGACCACCTGGAAGAACAAATTGACCAGTTAGCGGGTGGATCCTTTAAACATTATATCCTCATACTCTCTGCAGCTTCTCACCTGCTCCTGAGTGGAGATGTAATCATCGATGAAGGGGACCCCCTCGTTGGGCCCCTGACCCCTCACACAGGTGATCCTGGCCACAGACATCTGACTGGGCTTAATGGTTGATTTGGTGCCATCACTGCGTAGCTCTGCTTCTTCCTGCAGACGCACACATAGAAAGACTCCAGGTTGCCAGTGGACTCGAACCCAGGACTTTTTCACGATAATACATCAGCTTTTTACAGCTTATGGGTAAAAAACATTCCATTTAACACAGTCTAACCTAGGAGAGCACATATTACTAACCTTATTAACTGGACACCTGGATTAGTTTCATGAGTTAACCATTATGACCAGTCTGTTGTGACAGAGAGCTCCCTGTAAATGTCTATAATATTTTTTTATCATGAAAGATTATGTCTTCCCACCTTCTTCTTCAATTGGCAGGCTTTAGGGGTCATCTCCATCTCACCCTACCCATAACACCCACCATGTCTTCCTTCACTACATCCATAAACCACCTCTGTGGCCTTCCTCTTTTCCACCAGGCTGTCCAATATATCCACCATCCCTCCTCTGCACATGTCCAAACCACCTCAGTCTTGCCTGTCTAACTTTTTCATGGCTGAGCTGCCCCTCTGATGAACTCATTTCTAATCCTATTCTTTCTGTAACACCTTTTCCTCATAACCAGGTCATCAGCTACAGGTAATACTTAATATTTAGTGTTATAGATTTCAACCTGGAAGCTATTTTTTTTTTAGTTATTTGGTTTAACATAAGAAGATACAAATCATAATCAGGTCATGATTAGAAAGGGCCTGATGTCTCCAGGTCACTGTAAATTTCCATGCCATGGAGATTTGTGTAGACTTTATTGTCAGCTTTTCGCAGGTAAACAACTCCAAACAAAAACTTCAAAGAGTACACTGCGCTTTGAAGTCACACTGCTACAGGAAAAGCAGAAGTGGTTTAATCCCATGGATTCCTCTTTATTATCAAAGTGTTTACACTAACCGCAAAACAATGTGACAAATATCTGGCAATTTCACTCCTTTGAAATCCCACACAACTATATTATTTTCAGTTTCAAGTTAACACCAGCGCATTATGGTTAGAATAGTTCTCCTTTAAGATGGGGAATGTTGTAGTGGAGTGGGTGGATAAAACTTTAATGGGTTTTGAATTAAATTCATCCAAAATCAGAAAA